GCAGCATAACAAGATGTCTCCTGTGTCTCCCTCCTGTTTCTTCCCAGGTGAAGTTGGTGGAGCAGGGTGTGGGCTACCTCATGCTTGGTGGGCTGATGACCACCACCCTGGCTCTGCTTCCCTTTGCCTTCCACCTGGCTCAGCGTCTGGACGTGTCCAAACTCAGCTCCCTTTCACAGAAGGAGCTGGTAGACATGGCTCTGGGGCAGCATGGTCTCCATGCCTATGTCTTTTTCCTCATCACAACGTTGCAAAGAGTCTGCCTCATAGGACTGTTCTTCTTCATGATGTGTGTGGCTGAGAGAACGTACAAACAGGTGAGCGCTGAAGTATTTTTTATATATTTGCTCACACTTCTTTCTCAGCTATATCTTGCCACAAGGTAATGTGTGTGTAGTTAAATATGATTGCTTATAGAATCAATTTTAACCCAAAAGTGGCATTCCTCCATCCCAAAGTCAAAACGAAATGGCTTTTCATAACTAAATGTAACTCCTGACGTTATCAATTGGTCATATAAACGTCTGTGTGCCTTTTTATAACTCCTAGAAAAAAATCTCCTATAATCTCAGTTCTTTTTTTCATAATTACCACATTTATAAGGTTCTTCAATATGAGAATTAATTATTTAATTGGTCGTCCTGACATCCATGGTAACAATACAAACAGGAACTGCTAACGGCTAAATCGGCATGTTTTTCAATGGTCCAAATTAGCAAATGCCAAAAGATGTTGACTAAAGATAACAGAGCTCAAGGGGAAGCATGCACTAACTAAAAATATTATACTTCCTATTGGCATCATCCAAAGCATGAGAGGAACTGTTCCAAACCTTTACATTATTAATCAAAATAGAAGAGTTGAATATAGTGACAAAATCCATATTTTTGAACTATAAATTAGCTTTTTTTCAGATTTGTAATTCTCAGAATATCCAATAAACTTGGCTCTTATCCCCTGACATTTTATTCAAGCCCTACATGTACAAATATTGCCCTTTCGTAATAAACATGAAGTGAAAATCTATGTACTTACATTAATCCACATGGTAAACAACTCATCCACACTTATCAATTCATTCAGTTCATTTATTTAACAAATGTCTCCCTCTAGTGGTGTTAAGAATCATTTAAACAGAATCACCTCTCTTGACTCTATCTGTGCTTTGCATCTCTGACACTGTATTTCCCTTTTTCCCGTTGCAGAGACTCTTGTTTGCCAAGTACTTCAGCCACCTGACTTCAGCTCGCAAGGCCAAGAAATCCGAGATCCCTCACTTCAGGCTGAAGAAAGTCCAGAACATTAAGATGTGGTTGTCACTACGCTCTTTTCTCAGGGTGTGTATTCTCCTGCTTTATATCTGTGTATATTGTTTCACCTCAAGAGTGTTTCAATGGACTAGTCTTTGTTTGTAGTGGTGTGTTCACTGACTTGCTTATTCTTACTGGATGCTACCCGTACGTCATTTTGCTGCTACTTATTGAATACATATTGCATTTGCCTTTTTATCTGCACTGTTCCCCACTGTGATATTAATCAAATATTTCTGATTTTATTGCAGAGACGAGGGCCGCAGCGCTCCGTTGACGTCATCGTCTCCACTATCTTCCTTTTGGCACTTTCCATTTCCTTCATCATTTGTGCCCAGGTCAGGTCATCTTATTTATCAGCTGGAACAGATCTGATCTGTGAAGCGATCCCAAATGTAATAATGTTACCAGACAGCCACAAAAGATGCAACCATCTAATCATATTACCAGACAAGAAGATGAGACATATTTATCACTCGGCTTGTCAAAAGTACTCCTGTTAGTTATCCTGGCTCATAAATGGTGGAAACAAGCTCTCCATTGATATCAGGAAAGCTAAATGTTGTACTTAAATGGTTTTAGCTCATTTGAAGCTAATGCACCAGCACCTACAATGGTTTGGCTTATTGAAACAAATGAACCTGCATGTTTCTTCTTGTTCTGAGTTTGTATCTTTTTGGTATATTGCACTTATTGTATAAAGATAAAAGTGTCAGCTAAAAACAATGTAATGTCATGATACAGTTGAATCCCAATTCTTACAACAACTAATTGCTGAGGGCTACAAGCATAACTGTTGTTGTTTTGTTGCCCTTCTTTAGCTTCTGCGCAACCACCAGACATTCCTAGAGACCCTGACTAACTGGGAGCTGATGGTGTGGGCCTCCTCCCTCATCCTCTTTCTGTTACGGCTGGCAACGCTCGGCTCAGAGACAAACTGCAAATACAGCAACTCCTCAGTGCTGCTCACCGAGCAGGTAAGAATCTGTGTCTGCAAAGAGGGAAACACATGCAGTTGCAGGTTATTTCTCTGTGGGTTCAGCCCTGTACAGCAATACTATCAGATGATTTACAGTCAGTATATAATTCAGTTAATGACCATGACTTTATTGTATTATTTATATTATGTGAAACTGTTCTTGGTTGCAGATCAATTTGTATCTCAAGATGGAGAAAAAACCCAATAAGAAAGAAGAACTCAACATTGTGAACAACGTTTTGAAACTAGCTACAAAACTGATGAAGGTAAGCAATTTTAGCTTGTTTTCTGAATAAGAAATAATCTAATTTTAATTTACCATCAGAGGGGCTTTGTTTGATTTTTAAGTGTAAAATACTGCATATATTAGCAATCCTTTCAAAATAAGATTAAGGCAGCACTTTTAGGTTAGATTATTTTTACCATTTAAATAATGAAACAGTCAGAGTTGGTTTAAAATGTGTTTTTTAGAAAATAAACAATGGCTGACGTTAACCAAAATGAGTTGATGTTTGTTAGTTAAAATTGTTCAATAATTGGTGTTCAGTCATCTCACTTTAACTGTCCCTTAGAATTACACTCTAATAACCTCCATAATTCATTCTAGCTTTGACTCATTTTGTAAAGTTATATAACATTGTATTCCCTCTCTCCTCCTAAGGAGCTGGATATACCTTTCAGACTGCTGGGTCTGACTGTGAACCCTCTGATCTACAATATCACCAGAGTGGTCATCCTGTCCGCTGTGTCTGCTGTGGTCAGCGACCTGCTCGGCTTCAACATCAGAGTGAGGGTCTTTCTGCTAAAGTTAAATTACATCTCATGTGTTTCTTTGATGAAGATGCAAATAGATTAACGGGGCACTCAACTCAATTTTACATGCATAGTTAAAATTAACTCACACAAAAAGCTCTTTTGAGTCTTTAAGACCAGTTGAATTATCATTTCTGTGGCATTGGAGAGTGTTTTAACGTTAATATCGGTCTTGTGTTTGAAGACTGGAAAGCTATTTACCAGTTAGTCATCGTTCAGCAATCCCTCTATTGTGAATATACTTAATTTAATAGGCACATTTTTCTTTAGTATTAAGTTATGTGTACAACTCTCATGTTTGTGTGTGAACAGTATGTAGCTGGAGCCCAGAGGCTGTTAGCCTAGCTTAGCATAAAGACTGGGAGCATCGGAAAATAGCTTGTCTAGCTGCATTCAAAGTTCAAAAATACATAAATTAACTTCTCTAATGCTCACTTATTAACTATTACTAGTAGTTTTTTATGGTTAAAACAAAAGATACATCTTGTTAATCCGCGGTAAATGTTGAGCTATGCTGAAACAACCTGAGCTAATCGGCTCCTGGTTGTAGTTCCACATTTATAGCATTTTGTTCCTCTAAGTGTGTGTGTGTGTGTGTGTGTGTGTGTGTGTGTGTGTGTGTGTGTGTGTGTGTGTGTGTGTGTGTGTGTGTGTGTGTGTGTGTGTGTGTGTGTGTGTGTGTGTGTGTGTGTGTGTGTGTGTGTGTGTGTGTGTGTGTGTGTGTGTGTGTGTGTGTGTGTGTGTGTGTGTGTGTGTGTGTGTGTGTGTGTGTGTGTGTGTGTGTGTGTGTGTGTGTGTGTGTGTGTGTGTGTGTGTGTGTGTGTGTGTGTGTGTGTGTGTGTGTGTGTGTGTGTGTGTGTGTGTGTGTGTGTGTGTGTGTGTGTGTGTGTGTGTGTGTGTGTGTGTGTGTGTGGGGTGGGGGGTGGGGGGTGGGTGGGTGTGGATGGATTTCTCTAACAAAAATTGTATCTCCTCTGCTTCATTTCCAGCTGTGGAAAATCAAGCATTAATGTGAAAAGAGCAACCAACTAACAGTCGGACACTGGATACCAGAAGCTCTGTCCGCAGCTACAGCGTCTCATCAAAAAAGTGCAAATCTACTGACTGTTATTCATTGTCTGTGCCTTCCAGCAGAAACGTCTGTGTCTTGAGTTTCATCAGTCATTCCCAAGCCTGAGATGCTCTGACTATTGCTCACACACAATTGCTGGCGGCTCAGTTGGTGTCCATCTACCACGCCACTAAACCAGTGCCTAATTTTTTACCCCTTTTCAGTGTGTTGTTAAATATAGGGGTGATTTTGAGGTCTGAGATCATTTCAGGCATCCGTGGCATCCAGAGGTGTATACTATACGCACAACGAAATGTAAATACAGACCTGGAGTGGATAGTTTATAGCTCATCATAATATGATCTTATTCACTGATGTTTTCCCATCAGTATATTAGTTAAACTAACTGTAAATCAAGCAATGTGCTATCTGAAGCCGCTAAATCAAAAGGGGCTGCCAGCTTAATTAAATGAATTTTCATAGGACTTTTGATTTTTGTACTGTTTAAAGAGGAAACTTTGTGAGGGCTTTATTTATTTGGGGTCTATTTTAGCGCTTAAACTTGTAATGGTACCTGTAAATAATGACCACTATCTGTGTTTTGTGTCGAAGACAATTGTCAAAGGAAATAACTATGCCAAGTTTTGCTTAAAGAAAATACTTGTTAGAGGTGAATAAATGTTTTTATCTACCTATCAATCGTGTAATGTTTCTCTTTTAACATTTTGCCTTCTAAAAAAAATCTTATTATGTTGTCTTTTTAACATATTAGAGCTTTACGCGTTTACGTATGATCTATTATCAACGTTACGGTAGGCAAAAAAATATGACGTAGTGGCACACCTCCAGTTTGGAAGGACACCAGCCGGCCAAGGAGGCACCCCAGCGCCAAGGGCAGGCCGAGCAGACCGCCTCCTCCGGCCGCAGCGGCAGGATCAAACTCTCGGCCCGGCAGCTCGAGAGATCCGCGTGCCGACCGTGTCCGCAGAGGCTTACTGACCGGAAATACTTGTTTACCGCCTATCGAGCAGGTAAAAAAAGCAATATCCATTTGAATGAGATGCTGTTAGAAACGCGTCCTGCAAGGATTATGTTTGATTATATTGTATATTTCACTTCAGATTAAGTGTCGCATGAACTCAAGTCACCCCCGTCAGAGAGGATATCACCGCGTGCTCTTATGCGGCTACAGTGTGTTCAGCCAAAGTGGGGTTTTTGTAAACGGATGATGTGGCAACATTTCATCCTTAACTCCTCTGGCTCATGTTACCACGGATACATAAAGCCAAAAACACATAGCCTATACTATTTGGAGAATGTAGCCTATTGCTATTTGTGCAAGATTCTGTTCTACCAGAGATGCATGGAAGTAATGGATGACATTTATTGTGACTCATCTGTTTCAGATCAGCTTGGATGATGCCCCTCTGAGAAATACATCGAGGGACAGCTGATTTTGACTCAAAAATACTTTAAACATGTCGTGCACTCAGATAGACAATGGCTGTTCAAACTTGGCAGAAGCTACGAAAACAGACCTGAGAACCAAGGAGAAGAAATGCTGTAAGTAAAGTCAAGGTTTTACCGTTTTACCACAATAATTTGATTTAAACACGTTATTTTGCATGACTGCAGTCAGTCTACAGGTGCCATTGTAATATAAAACCCTGTATTGGATCTATAACACATTTTCTAAATCACCTCCCTGGGACACTGCCACTTCTTCACTAAAGCCTCCTATATTGTAAAAATTGACTTTTTAATCTACATTTTGATTTCTAAAGCAGTTTTTATTATTAAATGTTGTAAAAATATCTAAACGCTCAATCCTGAACTCGTAAACTTCATTTAAAGGACACCTATCATGCTATATTTAAATGATATATTGTAGGGCCATACCTATATAAGGTATATTTATACGTTTCTGTTTTCAAAATACCAAACAGATCATGCATTTTAGCCATGCCTTATTTCGCTCTATTTGCTGTTCTCCAGCCCTGTTTTTGCAGGGGGCTGATTCTGTGAGCTGCAGCTGACCACGCCCCCCTGCAGGAGAGGGGAGCTCTGATCAAGTCAGAAGAGAGGGAGAAAAATAGATCTCCGTCCTCCGTGTTTTATTATATTATTATATAGAGTCGTTATTCATTTGTTTTAAAGCTCAATAAATAACAAAGAAGACCTTTGACCGGCACTTTTCTAATTTTGTCCGGAAGATTTAAACTTTAACGGACATCTTGACCGGCGAAAGAAAACCTAACTGAAACTCTGCTGCACGGTCCCCTCGTTCCTTGGAAGAGGCGGCGAGGTGGGTGTTTGTCATCTGCTGGTGGACTAACCGGAGAGAATTACAGTGCTTGCCTCGACGGGGAGGGATTGCATTGAATTACAGCAGCAGGAGCAAACGCTTGCCTCGGGGAGGGAGAAAAAAAGCCACAGCGGAGAATAAACAGAAGGGAAACCATGGCAACCATGCGCGTGAAGTCTTCTTAGCTGCTTTTGTGGCAGACTACAGCGCCACTTACAGGCCTGGTATATGTACTACAGCGTCTCCAGCGCTTTCGAGCGGCAATGGCCGGCCGTGGCCCAACCCCACATTCCCCTGATAGGTGGAGAGTTGGCCCAATAGCCGTAGCGCCACTTTACTGACGTCAGGACAGTGTTCAAATCTGGATCAGTTTTTATCAGATCCGTTGCAGCCCCGTTTTTAGAGATTTGGGTATGGAGGAAAATAGAGAGGGTTGTGTTTTCTGACACTTGGTGAGTTCCCTGGAACACCGGGGATACATATTCATGTATAAAAGACGTACAAAAGTGCATTTTGCATGATAGGTCCCCTTTAAATGAGCTTTCAGGACTTCTGATGGTTGTGATAATACAACATGAAGACCATCCCACCGTTTTACATGTAAATACCATATGTAAATACTCTAAATGTGTCCCAGTTACATGAAACCAGTTTACAGGAAGTTATCATGAACCCAAGTTGTTTCCTAGCAACGCAATTTCTTTCATACAGAGGTGAGAATACAGGTATAGTCCATTCTCATGGAGAAAAAGAGTGTTGTTTTTTTAAACATTGAAGCATTTAACAAGTTCTAGTAGAAACCCAAATATAAGTATGAACCAATGTCTCCTTTAAGACTCCAACCTGTGAAAGATAATGAAATGAAAAGGTGAACATCTGGGCGAAAAAACTAAAGTGTGAAGAAGAAGATGTAAAAAAAGTGTGGCACCTTCTGTGGTTTCCACTGTTCTTCAGGAAATTGCTTTTTTCTCTAGGGATGATTTATTTTAATTTCTTCGGATCCTGTCTGAGACAATTATTTTTGTCCAGTAGAAACATGGCTTAGTTATGTAAGTGTCCTAATCCTGCAAGAATAGACACAATTATTACAACTATTTAATTATGGATTTATCTCATAATTATTTTTCTAAATGAATCTATTAATCATCTTGTCAATAAAATGTCAGCAAATAGTGATTTGTCCATCCCAGTTTCACAATGTCCAAGATAATGTTTAATAATGGGTTGTGTGGTCAGTACAAACCCAAAGATATTCAGTTAAAAATGATGTTAAACACGGAAAAGAAGAAAATCTCCATATTTGGAAGGCTGAAAACAGCTGCCATTTTTGCATGAGAAATGACTTTAATTATGAATCGATTATCAAAATAGATAATTTTGTTGTTGACCAACTAATCAATTCATTGACTAATCAGTTGGTTGACTAACATTGGGTACATTTACATTATGACGTCATTTATTTGCTTATTTTTCTTATGCATGGGATTACCATTGAATTGACCTATGATCTACGTCCTTTTAGCATGGGCCTCCTATATGACAAATTCTCCAACGGTGATCGTAATGATCGGCCTGCCTGCAAGAGGGAAGACCTACATGTCAAAGAAACTCACACGTTACCTCAACTGGATCGGGGTCCCAACCAAAGGTAGTATAAGACATGTTATGGAAACCTGTTTAATTGTCTTTTAATTTATTCTGACTATATATTAGAGCTGCATGTTATTAGGAAAAGGTGCAAAATGCGATAATGTTGTTCAATTTCGCAAAAATGATATTACTTGGGATATCATATGAAAGTATTTTCAGTTCTGCCTTTCTGCTTCTTTTGGTATACTGCTAAAGTACAACATGTTTGCTTGTTGAATAAAAAAAGAACACAAAAGGAAGCAATGTCAAAAAGAATAGTTACACTGTATTAAGTGCTATTTTCTACTGATACTCTCTTTGAACTAACCGAAAAATCCTTTGAAGAATCGCTGTGATGATTAAAAAATAATATAAAGTGCAGACCTAATATAACAATCAAAAAAGCTCACTACATATTTTATACTGTAATTGGTATTGAACCGCCAAAGGAATGGAAATCTACAGATATTTTTGCAATGATGGTCAGAGTATTTTTAGAATAGGAAACTCAATTTAGCAGCAGTTGAGTTGTAATAGGTGCACTTGCTTATTAAAAAGCAACTTGTGGGTGACTTTAAAGATGCACACGTGTACAGATTAAGCCTTTTAATATATTTTTTTCATTTTGCAGTGTTTAACTTGGGCGTGTACCGCAGAGAGGCTGTCAGAGCCTATAAGTCCTATGATTTCTTCCGCCATGACAATGAGGATGCCATGAGAATAAGGAAGTAAGTTCCACTCTAACTAATGTGCTCTTGTCCAGTCATTAGATTGCACATTATATATCTATTAAGGGAAGCTGTAGCAGCTCTACTGTCTGACCAAACATTTCCTCCCAGTCAACATGGCTCTGTTTGATATTCTGCTGCCTCTACTGCTGCATCAGTGACTAAGCAGTTTTTGAGCTAACATTCTATAATAAACCAGGGTCTCCACGGTGTTCTTATGACATTAAACTGGCACTTATCTAAAATTAATGTGACAGCTGTAAACCACTGCAGATTTCTCCAAAAGTATACAGAATAAATGTCTCTTTCCTTCATGGTCTTATCCAGTAATGGTTTTTGGAATGGGGTTTGTCCTTCAGGGCTATCAGGAGATTTGTGACAGGCTCCTGACAGCCTTCCAGAGCTGAATCGTGACCTAGATATTAAACAAGCTGCCGCTGTCACTCTGAAGCTGACACAAGTCCGCCAGACAGCTGCATGGGTTTCAAACCTGAATCAAATAGTAGCTGCAGTCCTTATGCTATTGGAAATACCAGATATGTTGGTTTAAAGGAATAATTTATTTTATGAAGTTCACCATTTTGCTTTGGTTCCAAACAGATCCCATTGAGTTAAAGTAATTGTCCAACTGTTTGGGAAATATACTTTATCACTTTTGATTTCAAGAGAAAGATGAGAATATTGATACCATTCTCATGTCTGTTTTAATATAAAGTTTTTTACTATTCATATTGTATCAAGTTTTATTTAATCAAAAGGCTACCACCAACAACCTGTTGGCTTAGCTAGGCTTAGCTTACCTTAGCTTACCTTAGCTTACCTTAGCTTACCTTAGCTTACCTTAGCTTAGCTTATCGTTAAGACTGGATACATTGGGAACTGCTTTATATTGATCTTACAGATATGAAAGTGGTATCAAGGAAGGAAGTAGACTAAGCAAATGTTTGAAATATCAAACTGTCTCTTTAAATTAATGGGACAGTTCTGTTTTGTTTTGTTAAAAACACCAACAAAAAACACATCCGTGCACAGGTAAACTAATTTAACCCGAAAATAACTTTTCTTACAAAATAATAGTCGCAATGAAAGAAGTGCAAATTAAGGTCTATGGGTTATCAATCATGTAACCAGTACATGTAATTGGAAAAATATATTGCTGCTGAGTTTTTGAAAAGTATTTTTATCACTGTTTTAAAAGCAGTGCAAATAAAAGAATACACTTTTTTTGAGGTAAAACGATTTTAACCGGGAAACAACGGATATCCTAAATTCAAAGATTCTCCAAATAAGACATCCAATTTTCTTTCTGGTCACCAGTTTACTTGATGAGCAAAGTAAGTATTAGATTTGGTGAATGAGATCATACTGAGGCTTTTTATCAGCACTGTTCTCATGTTTCTCCTCCCTTTCAAAGGCAGTGTGCTCTGGTAGCTCTGAAGGATGTGAAGAAGTACCTGTCGGTGGAGGGAGGGCAGATCGCAGTGAGTCCTCTTTTTGCTGATATGTTGATCTGTGTCCCTGTCTGCGTTTCAATACATACTAGCTGAAAAACATCCAGAACAGAAACACATCTGGCATTAAGGCAACCTTAATCTTACTGACAATTTACTAGAGAAACCCCACATTAAACATCTCCTTTGTGATTCCTTTATTAGGTGTTCGATGCAACAAACACAACAAGAGAAAGACGAGACCTCATTCTATCTTTTGTGAAAGAGAATGCTTATAAGGTAAGATTAGCAAATAGTATATGTTTGCAAATGTTTCGTGAGGAAAATATTTTTACTTTCATCAAGAATTCACACTTCATTTTGGTATAGACAGTACATGTAAAGACAACTTCACAGGGTGTCTTTACTATCTGATAAAAAGCAGGTGAATATGTGAGATGGCGTTGTTTCAATGCACCATTACAGGACGTTTAGCACGTGCTGACCCTGTGAGATGCCCTTTTCCAACAGGTGTTCTTTGTGGAGTCGGTGTGTGACGACCCAGAGGTCATTGCTGCTAATATTCTGGTATGATCTCATGTCACCAACCAGACATTACGATTGGACTCGTTGCCTGGGTCAAACCCATAATCTATTAATATTCATACCATCTACAGTGCTATGTGAAAACCACCATGCTCTCTTACATTGTTTGAATGTGCTGAATACCTGTAACAGGAAGTGAAAGTGTCCAGTCCAGACTACCCAGAGAGACACAGAGAGAGGGTGATGGATGATTTCCTCAAAAGAATCGAATGCTACAAGGTTACTTACCAACCAATAGATCCTGACGATTATGACAAGTAAGGACTCATTTCTTCTGCCTCTTTTTATGTTTTTCAAACATGAATTATAACATTTCAATAATTACTGTTGAAATTAGAAATAAATTAATGTTTTTTGTTTAGTCAGTACTGTGTCTATTGAGTTGTGTTTTTATTAAGTGTAATTGTGTGTATGTAAATTGTCTGCAAAGTATAAAATCCCAAAGTTCCCTCCAGAGGGAGTTTCTCTCCCGTATACTCCCCCTCAACTGCCTGAAACGCCTCCATTGTGTTCCTTTGTTTACTTCCATAACATAAGGACATCACAACACAACATTCACACTTTTATTGCCTAGCGCTCCAACACATTGTATGTGATAGGCTAAGGGGCGGGTCATGTCTCATTGGTTGACTAATAACAACCGAGCCAGCTAACCAATCAGAGCACACTGGGCTCTGGTTTCAGACAGAGGGGGTAAGAGGTGCTGCAGCACAGGCAGTGTGAGAAAATGAAAGACCTTTTTGAACATTAAAGCATGTAAACATGTCACAGTAGAGGCACACAATACAAATATGAACCTGAAAATGAGCATACTAGATCCTCTTTAATCACTAAATTGAATATCATTAAATAGTGTCAGGAATGGTTGGTATTGTTTTATATTTCTACTTGTGAAACACATTTGTGTATGAAAAGTGCTTAAAAATAAAGTTTGATTAATTGATCTACAGGGACCTATCTTTCATCAAGGTGATAAACGTGGGCCGGCGTTTCCTGGTGAACCGAGTGCAGGACTACATCCAGAGTAAGATAGTGTACTACCTCATGAACATCCAAGTGCACTCTCACTCCATCTACCTGTGTCGGCACGGAGAGAGCGACCACAACGTCGAAGGCCGAATCGGAGGAGACTCGGAGCTTTCTCCTCGAGGGAAACAGGTTCTCTTTTATAATCCTAATTTAATGAACTGAAACACCGCTGTGTCCTGAAACCCAGTTACAAGCATTTCTTAAGGAGGTATATCAGTGAGATAAGGTGTTCCTTACTGCAGTATTATGAACACCTTAGTCATAACCACAGTTAACCTTCTCTACTTCCTGTTTTCCTGTCGCTATCAACTGAACATGGATCTTATAAAGCAGAAATACCTTTAATCAATTATTAAGGATATAAATGATTAATGGGTAGATGATTTGAAACCTCTGTCTGTGTCTCCAACATTGCAGTTTTCCCATGCCCTACGAGATTTCATTGAAGAGCATGAGCTGTCAGATTTGAAGGTGTGGACGAGTCAGCTGAGAAGAACCATCCAGACAGCCGAGGAGCTGTGTGTCCCTTACGAACAGTGGAAGATACTCAATGAGATCGATGCTGTCAGTACCCTCATCCTCTAACCTTCAGCAGATTCATTACAGATTCATGTACCTTTTGGTTTGGATGGGGAGACATTGGCACGGGGGAAAGGGGCATCCTAATGTACATCACTCAATACCAGTGGTAGAGGAGGTATTCAGTAAAGTACCGTTGTGTAGTTTGATTTATGACAAAACATAATATTTTGTTTTTATGTCTTAATGTAAAGTAACCGATAACTACTGCTGTCAGATAATTGCAGTGGTGTAAAACAATATTTCTCTTTAAAACATAGTAGAAAGTGGCATGAAAATAAGTGCCTAAAATGGGTTCCTTTAGTAAAGTACTCAAGTAAATGTACACAAAAACATTCCACCAAAATCAAAAGGCCAGTTTCAAAAGATATTGGTCACAGTAAAGAGAGAATAGTTCAGGCAATCTAAGGAGATTACCTTTTTTTTGTTCATTTTAAATGCAACCAGTTTCAACCTTGCAAGACCTTTTTCAGGGCAAGATATTAAAAACAAATAAAAACCACCTGGTACTGTTGATAGACATTAGTCTAAAACATAATGTAAATATCTGTGCTTACAGGTGAGACTAATATTCTTCTTTTAAAAAGGAACGACTGCTGTGTTTTTTTTGTGGACTGTATTTAAATCCTGCAGTCATATTGCTGTGAAAGCATCCATTCAGCTTTTTACTTGTGCTTTTGACATTTAGACAAATGCTCTGTTTTCCATATCCAGGGTGTGTGTGAGGAGATGACCTATGAGATGATCGAGAACACATTCCCAGAGGAGTTTGCACTGAGGGACCAGGACAAGTACCACTATCGCTACCCAGGAGGAGAGGTGACCTGAAATAATCCCTCTATGCTTTACTTTCAATACACTGAATTCATCTTGTTGTTTGAACATGACATTTGGAGTGCGGTTAAAATAGTCTTCTCTCTCTCTTTTTCAGTCCTACCAAGACCTGGTTCAGCGCTTGGAGCCGGTCATCATGGAGCTGGAGAGGCAGGGCAACGTGTTGGTCATCTGCCATCAGGCTGTGATGCGCTGCCTGCTGGCTTACTTCCTGGACAAGAGTGCAGGTCAGAATCACCCCTGTAATGTTAAACAAATGTGATCCTAATATTCCTGACAAATCTAAGTGTATTTTTTGGGCAAATATCAGTTGGGGGAAGTGATATAGATTTGAACAGTTTTGGTTATATTATATTTCTATCACATGACCTGTATTCAATTACCTATATTAAAGGTGGGGTAGGTAAGTTTGAGAAACCGGCTCGAGATACACTTTTTGTTATATTCCATGGAATGCTCTTAACATCCCGATAGCAATGAATATCTTAAGTGCTTTGACAAAAAATCCATAAAAAAATGTCATCTGTGGAAGCCGTAATACTGTAAAAAGCACGACCAATCATTTTAGCCGGCCCGGCTAAAATAACTGGATGGCCTACCTGCCTGTCAGCCTTCCATCTGTGCACAAACTTATCTCGTGCCCTCATTGGTCATGTGCGCGTTCGTGTGTGTTGGAGGAGGGGCTCTGTAAGGAAGTGGCAGACTTTCTCCGGTTGTGTATTTTCAAATTCTAGCGATCTCGAGCCGGTTTCTCAAACTTACCTACCCTACCTTTAAGCATTTATCCACACCAGTGTTCTCTATCTGATAGAGACATAACAATGGTTGACCTATGTTTACTACAAGCCAAGTGCAAGATTGCTCTGTGTTGGAAAAATGTTGGCGGCTCCTCAATTGGCCCCTTCTGTATGTTTAAGCTCTTGAGAAACCCCCATAGGATCGATGTTGATGGCATTTGTTAAAAATGTTTGACTTTTTATAATTGTACTTATTTAAAAAAATAAAACATCTGTCCATTTTAATTATTAAGTATTATTACTTACTATAATTACCTAGAAGGTTAAACTACTGTATGTATGTTTAATCGGTTAAACGTAAAGATATCAATAATTACATTACAAAAAAGATGATAACATTTTATGCATTCGCTTTCCGCAGAAGATCTACCATATATGAAATGTCCACTCCACACGATACTCAAGCTAACCCCTGTTGCATACGGTACGTCTTTACCTCTAAATATAACTCAATTTTCTTTTTTTAAATGTTTTTTATTTATTTAAATGTATTCTGTCTTTTGTTCCAATAGGTTGCAAGGTGGAAATGTTTTATCTCAATGTGGAGGCAGTGAACACGCATCGAGACCGGTCTCTTGTAAGTCCCTCTGGATTGAGCTGGCAAATCACATTATTATTATTTTTTTAATTAAAGCTTCAAAATATAATAATCCATTCAAATAATATTTATTGTTAACTTACCCAGTATTAATTCAAAAGTTATCAGCATATTTCAACATCTGAAACAAAGTTTAAAAGGCCCTGTGTTTGTTGTGTCTGCTAGTTTGCTGCACTTCTTACCCTGTGTGAGGCTTTGCTGCTTTGACTCCCTTTTATATATTCCTTATGTTCCTTTATCTTTGAACCTTATTAATAAGTCTGGCTTAAGCAATATGATGAATGTTGAATAAGTTGTTTATTTTGCTTTTGTTTGACCTTGATGGAGGCAATGGCTTGTGCTAACTTGCTTGGCTCTGCTCTGCTTGCATTTTGATATTAAGAATGTTCTTAATGAAAGACATCTGTATTTGAGCTATTCATCTATTGTTCACCTTTTAGTATACTCTCTGTTGGTCCTGTGAAATCAGGGCTGATTTCTTTGATATGTTTTGTTGTGTGATGGAATACCTTTGCTTAACAGCGTCTGTCACCTAAAACACTTACAGTTGTCTAACCTGTTGGTGTGGATCCATGTGGAGAAGACGGCTAGCTTGCTTGGCTTTGTCCGGTTAAGCCCCCCCCCTCCTGCCAGGAGTTCACATGTTCCTTAATCTTTTTTCCCTGCCATATTTCCTCCCCTACCAGGATAAATCTGCGATGGACTCTGCTCTCACACTCCGGCGGAATAGTTACACTCCCTTGTCCAGTCACGACCAGTTCAAGCGTCCTAGGCTCTACAGCGCGGGCAACCAGCCCTGGCTCCCGCTCGCCCCCACCCCCGCAGCACTGATGCCAGAGGGACGGCAAAGCCAAGTTAGTGCCAGAGTTACAGCCCCCCCCCAGCCCCCTTCTAAACCAGTCAACTGTATTCGGTCACCTCCCTTCACAGTTTGCCATCCCCTCGCCTCAGTGTTGGATCCTCTCGATGAGTTAGTGTCTGTGTTGAAAATACATACATCCTTGGAATCCATCTCTCTTTCTATGTTTCTCTCTCAGGGCATGTTTTGGATCTTGAATGGGTTGCTGCCTTCTTTTTATGTTGTCTGTTTACCAAAATGCATGACCTATGCTTCACTACTGGGCTGCTTGAATATGCAGAACAGCATGCCAATTTGTTTTGAGCTAGCCAATATGGGATTCAAAAGACACACAAACATCAAAGACATCTTATACTGTATTTTTTTACACAGCTTTGGTTATGCATACATTCCCTTAAATGCATTACGAAATGTATCCAATTTGAGTGCAATTAGGCAAAAAAAAATACACAAATGAAAGATTTTAATCATTCAAATTTGAAAAAGCATAGAATTATATTTGTACGTGTTGTGTATTTGTTGGCCTTGCCTTGTGTGTTCAGTCCATCTCTACATCTATCTGTTTCTATCTCCACTTCCTCTAAACCTGTCTTACAGCCTCGAATAGGATGCGGTTGTCTGTGAGTATTTCGTAGTTTATCTAGCCAGCCCTTTATTTAGCCCTTTTCTTTCCCACAATTCAGCTCATGTCATTTGTAACCCATGTCATACGTTGTCACAGTGGTGTATTTAAATAGTTTTCAATCTTTGGGCTTCTCTAACCTTCCATCACCTTTAATAAGACGAAAGCTGCTGTCCCATTTGTTTCATCTCAGTGGCATTATCAGTCACTGACTTGCTCTTCAACTTCAGTAAAACTCTTTGATAATAGTAATTATTAGCCACCTAGATATAGTTCAAAATGAAACAAAATTGAGAACATCTTAACATATTTAGTTATTTATTTCCTTCGTATTGTATTTAATTAAGTGTACTAGATTCATAGAGCGAGATTGTGATTAGTTATTAATCTCTTTTTGATAATTTGCCTGAAAGAGCCTCCTCTAATGTGATTGTTTTACCACACTTCACTTAATGACCTAATTTCTCATATAAGAACTTAAGACTCCTGGGGCCCCTGGGAAAATGTTTTCCTCTAAAATAGCATTTGCTGCTGTAAGTCATTAATTTGTAAATGTCCGTGACATTTCCTTTCTCTCGAAGGAGTCCCTGTGCGAAGGAAGTGACGCTGACAGCGACGCTGACAGCCCCGAAGAAACGAGTGGCTGTGTCCGCTTCTGAGTTAAGATGAAGGTCTCTTCCTTCAATGTGTCAAAGTTCTGGGTTCAATCATGTTAGAAAGATGATATTATTTTTTTTAAACCATATTCTTTGAAATGTTGGTCTGATTATGAGGTAATTTGTTGGTCCTAAATCTCTCTGTTTAACTTCACTCTGCATGCTGAGGCTTCAAACTGGAAGACTTTTCATGGGTATCAAACACTACTGCATGCGCACAACAATCAAGCAACCAAGAATAAACAGGTTAACTTATCCTCTATGTAAATATTATAATACCTCCCTCAACTTTAACTTGTGCGTTGAAAACCATTTTTAGGTCATTTCAAATAGAACTTGTTATACAGAAGATGTTGTAGGAATTATTTTATAAGATACAAATATTCTCATTTAGCAAACATACTGTAATTGTAAGTCTTATATTCATGTTTCTAACATCACATGTTATGTGATGTTATTGTTATTTGGTTTTTATTTGTGCTTTTGTCGTTTTGAAGGAAATTAAAATACTGTATTGAGTTGGTTTCTTCTGTTTTGGAAGCCTTGTATATCTTTTTGGTCTTGTTAGAAATACCCCATTGGGAAAACTGTGTTCTAGCAGCAGTTAAAGAAGCTTAGTTTTCTGTCATAGGCTACTTGTAATGAGATGGTTTGCTCTATCACAATTGAAACCCTAAATGTTCATCTGTTTATGGTTTTTCTTGACTTTATATCCAAGCATGTTGATGGCTTATTGGCTATATCTTTACATCATTTTATCATACTTGCCATACATTTCTTTTAATTGCTTGTGTAATGTAATTTGACTCTTTACTTAATTCTCTTGGCATATTCAAAACACAAAATCCTCTCATCATACTTAATCCTAGACAGTAGCACAAGTTATATTCTACGACTTTGTAATGTTTGAATGTTGATATGTATTCGCTCATAGCAGCCTACTGTGCCTTTCACGCAGAAAATAAAAGTGAATTCTCATATGATTTTTTTTTACCCAGTGTGTGTAGTAAACGTAGAAGACCTTTGTGTAATCTTCAAAATGGAGTCATACAAATCTATTACAAAAATCTATATCATATTTGTGGGGTTTAGTTAATTGTTCTTTGGTTGATGCAAAAAGGTCTCACAATTATTAAAAACTAAGTAGACCCCAGTGTCCTTTAAAAATGCAGGGTGTGTATATAGGCCTATGTGATATAGGAGCAAAAAATGATAGTACCTAAATTATAAACATTTAGTCATAGGTTTCAGGGAAAAGGGTTCCATTCTTTTTTTGTTATTATAAACTGAAGTGTAAAGAATTCAGTTCTACAATAAGATGAAAACGTAATACTTTAGAACATGTCTGAAGAAAGAAAAAATCTAAATAGAATAATACAATTGATTAGATATTCAAGAGCGCCATCATCTGGAGTATCAAGGTAGCAAATAATAGTTTAAAGTTAAAAGAGCTGACATAAACATTAGCTTTAAAAAAAAAAATGTGAGACTCCAGATTTGTCCAAACCTACAGTCTATGGTCCAAACCTTTAGATATACAGTCTATGTCCAAACATGATCAAAGAGATGCTAATATGTTATCTTAAAAAATAAATATGCTATAATTGTTTGTAAAATTAGCGATAAGAAAATTAGCAGGGTATTTTCTTATGTGGCCCATGAGTCTTGTGTAAGTACAGTAATTTAAGGTTAACGTCATTTTAATATACATTTAAAAGGGAATGGATGTATAGAGAAAATGTACGGTACACGCCGTGTTGAGCGTCATGACGTAGAACAGACGCAGAGTGACGTTCTACACACACCAGTTTTTCTCACTAGATGTTTATTGTTTGAGGCAGGATTGCAGTCAACAGCAGGTAAGACAAACAAATGAACTTAGCTCGTTGTCATTTATCTTATGAAATACCCTGTCGTGTTAATATATTTCAATTGACAGGTAACATGATGTACATTAGTCTACATAGATTCGAAATGCTTGAAAAAATGGTCCACTTAACGCCAAGTTAATGTGTAGGTTAGCATGCTAACGTTAGCAGATGATACATGTTATAGCTACCGTTAACGTTGGTCTGAGTCTGGGCTCAAGTGTGTTTCTTTCAAACATGTTCATAATACATGTCACTAACGCCCTTCTTGTCCAATGTTTATGAAGTAACTGGCTCTACATAATCATGCTATATTTTCTCGCTTGGCAGGTAGCTCCTAGCTTAGCCCGCTATCTGTTGGTCTTGCTGATGAGTTAACTGACGTTAACTGACAGAACAAACAAAACAAAACAAAGCATGTCGCTGTCACTTGATGCCCTTTAATGCTGATCATCAGCATTGCAGTTGTTATGCTGGGTCCATTTAGAAAGCAGTACTATCACACAACGGACAGCAATAACAACGGCTAACCGACACCCTGGTTCCTGTTGTGAGGCAAAAGTTAACGTTTGGCTAACAAATACAGTGAGCTAAAACAACCAGCTTAACGCTACACTATGAAGCAGCTGATTCCCGAGCTAACTTAGCTAACGTTTTGGTGCATATTATGTGCAGCTAAATGATCATGATGGCTGATTTAAAATCGGCACAAAGTGAATATAGTCTGTGTAAATGAAGTTCCTATTCTGTGGCACAACAGAAAACGATTAAGGTTTGAAAAATTCCTCTTGAGTGTATTACTTCAAAAATAGTTAAATAGAGTAAATAGAACACAATCAACTGTGATTCCATCAAGTAAATAGGAGGCAAACTATCAGCATCATTTGAAATGACTGTAGACTCTTACATATTTACCCCGCCTGTACATGTGTCTCCACCCATGGCTTTATTTGTTTATGGAATTGAAACAGGCCTTGGCAGAATAAATGGAAATGTTATAAATAGCTGTTGCCACGTATAATTCACAACCAAAGAATAATAATTCAAAGTTTGATTCAATAATTATCAATGCAAAAGTTGCAGGGGTGCATAGAGTGTATAAGTAAGGTGCCAAAAGTCATAAAGCAACACCATATTTCTACTCAAGAAGTCTCTCACTCATAAGGAGTGGCAAATATATCAACCTGATATATAATACATTCATCTGACTTTAGTAAACCTCAGAATGTCAGTCAGACAATATCAGAACAACTTGATACGTGTCATTTTCAAAATGAAAAGTGAATAAGTTACCACCAATTTCAGCAGATCCTCTGCATTTTAACAGTCAAAAATATAACCTCAGGGAAACATTGCACATCAACTTTGTTGTCTTTTCCTCCCATCGGAGTCCTGCGGTCAGCTGTTCAGTCCCTTTGTTGTGCAACCATATGTGGCAGAAAGACAGTAAATGATGCTTGAATTGATGAGGAACTAGTACTGTTACTTAACTACTATTAGGCAAGGGAAGGCAAGTTTATTTATATAGCACCTTTCAACACAAGGCAATTCAAAGTGCTTATTAGGCATACGAATGACAGCAGCAGAAACAAGATTATGCCTGTTGACTTAATAAGTTGATGTGATGTTTTTTATTAAGCTGGATGTCCATTAAAGTGTCCTTGTTGGCTATTTAAATCACTTGATAAGTGGCCTTAGTGGATGAGTATAGTTTTGTTACTGATACAATGTCTAATGTTTTTGCAGGTAGAATGTTGCGGCTTCGCTGTAAAACCAAAAATGGCAGCCACATAATGCAGGGCTTGACTCACCAGTCCTGTGTCCAAGAGCTGAAGAAAAAGGTGGAGGAGCTGACTGGTATCCCATGTGATGTGCAGAAAATCATGGTTGGTTATCCACCCAGCAGCCTGGATCTTCAAAATGGAGACGCTCACCTCAAAGACTACCCTATCAAATCAGGTATGTTGATGTCAAACATTCAGATACATTCACATCATGTATTGACTGGGTTAACATTTAAGTACATTTTTGAATAAATTATTATTATAACAAATCTGGAAAGTTGGCGGCATATATCCCAAGAAGTGGCAAACCTATTTGCAGTTAAGGTGTTCTGACTATAACTCAACATGTTGTTAACAACTGCAAAGCTGTAAACAAAATAGATGTTTCCTCTCAATTTGTTCTTACAAAAGTCAGACTAGGCTAAACTGTTTGGTCATCCTCTACAGGAGACACACTCATTGTTGAGGAAGACAAAAACAAGCCAAAGCCGCCTCAGGAACAACCCGCTGTGACTAAAGTACCACGACTGGAAGCCTCGCCCATGCTGGCACGTAGAGTGGTCCCAGCAGACAACTCATGCCTCTTCACCAGTGTGTATTATGTGGTGGAGGGGGGGGTGTATGACCCTGCATGCGCCCCAGAGATGCGCGGCCTCATAGCCCAGATCGTGTCAAGTGACACCACAGCTTACTCTGAAGCGGTGCTGGGGAAGACCAACGAGGACTACTGCACGTGGATCAGACGTGACGACACCTGGGGGGGGGCCATCGAGGTCTCCATCCTGTCCAAGTTTTACCAGTGCGAGATCTGTGTGGTGGACACTCAGACGGTGCGAGTGGATCGATTTGGGGAGGATGCTGGATACCACAAACGTGTGCTGCTCATCTACGACGGCATTCACTACGACCCCCTGCAGAAAGAGACGCCCGGCTCCGACGCTCCGCCCCTGACTATCTTCTCCACCACGGACGACGTCATCCTGGCTCTGGCACTTGAGCTGGCGGACGAAGCCCGCCGCAAGCGGCAGTTCACGGACGTTAACCGCTTCGCTTTGCGCTGCATGGTTTGCCAGCAAGGCCTTGTGGGACAAAAGGAGGCGCGTGAACATGCCAAGGACACAGGCCACACCAATTTTGGCGAAGTGTGAACACTGTTTTGTCTTTTCTCCCTCTCACAAATACAACATCTACCAACCCCTTGCCCCACGTCTCGCAACTTTGTTGGTCTTTTTGTCACTCTGCTTGTGTGATCCTCTACCTCACGACATCAATGGAGAATCTGCAGACACTGTCCAGCCTCTAACCTGTTAAGTATTACTGTTTAACTGCTGTAAGTTCTCAAAGTCAGGAACGCTACTGCCATGCTACGATGTCTCTAAACCATCTTTTTTCGTCTGTTACGTAGGTTTTTTAATCTGGGTCAACAACAAAAAGCAAACCATTCTTAGGATTATTTTTTTTTAACCCTTTCGATGACTTGATAGCTGGTTGGGTAGAAAAAAATGAATCTGTTTTAAATGAAAAAATCTTCCAATTTGCAAATAATTGCTTGGATGGGCTAAACTTCTGTTTGATTAAAACCCGGCTATCTGGCTCTTGAAAGAGTTTAAAACGACTAGGAATGATTTGCACTATGATGTGATCCAACTCACCGTTGTCTTAAGTGCAGCACAACAAGTATGACTGTTATTCATCATGTTGGTTATGTAGCATGTTTTTTGTGTCATAAACTAGTTGAATACTTAAAACGTATAATTTGGTCAAATGTAGAAATCTGTTCTGTGCAGCACAGTTAGGTTTGAATATAGTGAGCAGTGGTCATTGAGATTGAGGTTATGCATTTTGAAATACAATATCACGTTGCCAATTGTGATCCAAAGTTAGCCTAACTACTTATGTGAGACTATTTCATCTTTATTTTTCTTTCCTTTTTTTATGTCACAATATGGCTTATCAGTTTTCTTATTTTAGATTAGTCAAAAGAAATGGTGCTGAAAACATAAAATCTGTAGCTCTGTTTTTCTTCATGGGTACAACAGTATTTCAGGAGTGTTTTTTTTATTATAGTGTGTTATATTCAAATGTCATGCTGAAATCTTTTTTTTTTAAATCCAGTTTTAGATTTACATTGCTGCATATTTTGAAAAAACACTAAGCATGTTCATTTGTTTGAGCGTTTATTTAATATTCCAAAAGATGGTGAGAGGGACTCGAAATCTAAAGTGTGAGACTGTGAATTGATGTACGAGAAATCTTGCTGACTGAATGCATTTAGGATTCAGCTAATCAACAATAACCATTTATCTTTGAAATTAGAACTTTTCAGCTAACATTTGCCTAAAGTATCTTTTGCCAGGGTGTTTGAAAAAAAGTATTTTTTGTTTGGTTTACTATGTAGTGCATTTTGTCATAAAAGATGTTACACTGTATGTGTTGCACAAATGGAGCATGTTCTCACATTTTCAGCTATAGTCAGACATGATCTCTTTGCTCTTCTGCACTGCCTAGAAGGATGAAGCATGCACTTGTTTCTTTAAAACCATAGCTCAAAAATTATAAATTTAGAGGAGGCCAAAATATGTAATTGTGGGATTGCTTTTTCTCTTGAGAACCAGTATTTGTAATTCACTTTCTGTGATGACAATATTGGTACAGAGTTGTTGCCAAATAATCGATTTGACAGTGGAGGATTTGATTGAAATGTTCTTGTAGATTTATCTTAATTATTTGAGATATGATTTCCCCATCATCTGTTACCTTAAGGTAGTTTTAACAGGGAAAAGTGAAAGTAGGAACTGGCTTTATTGTGTTTACCAAGATCTCATGACTCTTCAAGGACAAAAACAATGAATGTTGCACACTAAGCACTACGGAATAACTGGACTTACTTGATTTTTTTCAGTGTTGTGTCACAATTAAAAGTTATAGCCAACGGTGTTGAGTATGAGTCATTTTGTATAAATTCTTTCCTTATTTTTCACCAACACTTATAGCCAATAATTGATGTTTTATCTCTGTAGAGATTGTTACAGTTCTGTCCATATTTTCTAATAATTTATATAATTTTCCTCACATTACCAATCTATTTATAGCTCCTGTTGACAGTCAGTGGCCACTGGAATCAAACCCTTGTTTGCAAAACAACCCTGATCCTGGGCCATGTTAAGAAACATCTAGCCCTTCTTAGTTGGATGTAAAATTGTTTTACAAAGTGTTTTACCACCATTTACATTACATCATCAGTACTGCTACTACAAAAAAGCAAGATAAAAGATAAGTAGACTTCACGTTTGCATTTACACTAAACTGAAAACAGGGCTGTTTTTCTCATCCCACAAAACATAACCGTGAACCTCTACAGCAGTATCATGCAACAAACCCATTAATGCACCAGTATTATTATTTAACATATAGTTAACATCATTTAGTTCAAAACACTGATGGAGAACAGTTCATTTAGCTGATTTGAAGTCACTGGGTCACATGACAAACATTTGGGGGGAAATTATGACTTTTCAATATAAAAAACTGCTGCATTTTTTTTACAATATATGTATAAAATGGAAGAAGCCCTAAAATCAAATACAAATAAGTATTCCTTCTGAAAAAATTCATAGTATAGCCTTTCAGAAAAACAATGAAAAAGTCAGTGTAGGATGTCCAAAAATGTGAAAAATGTCACAGTTTAGCATTTCAATAATATCATGAACAAAGTCTTGGCGTGATGGAAAAAGTTATTGATACCAGCAGCCAATGTATTGATGGTCCGATAAGAAGTGGATAAGAGGACTGGAGTGAAAGTGTATCGAATATCCAACCTAAACCTAACTTCACTCTGTTTTGGCTCACTTTAACAATCCAATACGGGTTACTCGTATTGGATTGTTATTTTACAAGTATTTATCTTTCGTATGATATATAGTATGGTAACTTATTATACCCAAATCTGGGAGTAATTATCGCAAGAGTAATCCACTTATATTTCCTTTACAGCAGTAAGTAACAAGTTACTTTTTGAGTAAGGAGCCCGACTTCAAACCACAGTCAGCAGAGAGTCTGAAACAGATACTGATCAGCAGCTTAATGCAGTTGTAGGTAATATGACAACGAGAGCTCGTGGGTCTTAAGGAGAATCCTGCTCTCTGATTGGCTAAAAGCTTAGAGCACAAAGTCCCTCGTGCAGGTAACACAGAGCCACTCTCTCATTTACCCGCGTCTTCACTTGCACAAGAAGCAGAAGATGGATAACTGACGAATGCTCGAAGATTCAAGGTATGTGTTAAATTAGTGCAATTTCCAGTCCGTGGTCAGTTTAAATACCTCTTTATTTAAATGAGTTAAAATCCTGTTTTTCTTGTGGAGAGCTGATCCACATCAGGTTGATGTACATTAGATCAACCTGAGCTTAAGATAAGTTCTAAATGTTGGCTTTAACCATTTATATTTCCTTAAATAGCTTCTGTTGCCACACTTCATACGTGTATACAATGCCATAGGCTACTGTTGTAATTAAATAACTTCTTTACAATGTTTAGTTCTTTTGGGGCTGAATTAGAAGTCTTACATTTAACTAACATATTTTGGTAAATGTATTTTGTTTATGACAATTCTAATTTACTTTTAGTTTGAAGGCATTGGGTTTGAGGCAGAGGATTAAAATAACTTTACAATAAAAACAGTGATGATTCAACCCAGTTGCACAATCCCTTTCAAACAATACATTAATACAAGCTTGGAAAGTTGCTCTTTAATAGATACAATAAAAAAACTAAACTGCCACTGTGTTAATAGCAGAGATAATGTTCCATGGAGTTGGATAAAGCACTTAGGTTTATTGCTTTAATCTCTGCTTGTCCATGTCTTTCTTTGGCGGTAGCTACTTTGTTGATAGGTGTGTCTACAGTATAGAGATAACATTATGATGCACTGTATATTCATCCATGTCCCTCCACTGGAAATGGTCAACAGGGGTCAATGACTAACTACATTCTTAGTAGTCTGAAGGTTTGTTATGACAAGGGAAAAACACATTGACGCAACACACAGCACGCAACACTATAATACTTCATTACTTAAACAGATAACCACAAATCAGAAGCTTCTAACACCCAGTGTTGTTATTTGCATACAAATCAACCCAGATTGGCCAGATCAGTTTAAAACAATTCATGTTATCTCAGTTTCACATCCTGACCAAAATACATCAGCACATATGGGAACATTTACATATTTGCCAGCTGATAGTGATGGGATGGCATGACAAAGCAACCCAGGTGAACAGGAGTGCCTTTGTGCCTCTCTTGGTTTATCTAGAAAGCCTTCCCTCTCAGGTGTTGAAACTTATCCAAAAGTACATTTCTCTACACTACATACAGACGGTCCTTTATACTAAACTTTCAGAAGAAAAGTCAAATGTATTTTTCGTCTATAAAGTGTGTTTTCTGGTAGAAGGAAACTGTTTCAATTTTTTTAGGGTAAATGTTTCCATCCCCAGGAGTAAACCTATCCCTTAACCTGGTATTCATATTTACATTATCTGAAAACAATGATCATTTCTATAGATAAACATACACCCAAATGAATTGTGTTGCAGTAAGACAAGATGGATATCATATGGCTTTCATGGGATCGTTTCTGCTGCCCTCCACACTCTCTGAAACTGATCCGGTCGAGGAAGATTAGGAGTGGCATGCGTCCCGTAATCTGAGTCACATGCAGCTAGAGGACTAGCTAGATATCTGTCAAAAACACTCTGAGCTAAGATACCCTGTCGTTCTGCAAAGCTCATGTGCATGTACAGCCCAACAAGGTTACATATGATTGAGATAGAAACTATTTTATAAATTGCTTAAACATTACTCCATTTGAACATATGCAGAGGTTTTAGCCATTAACTACAAACTAGTTTCCTTAACATTAGAACCATTTGTAAGACATTCTAACTTGATGAACTTCCAGGCAGCAAATGGTAATAATGTAATGCCAATTTAGTATGGAAATGAACTTTATGATCATTTAGTAAGCATTTAGGACATTTAAAAACACTTTTGATAGATTTATAATAGTTTTGACTTGTTTTCAACAGTTACTGTACTTAACAGTTTTTACATAATCTTGTTTTATCTTCCCCTAGGGAGCCTGCAAGGTAGATATTATCACGTATATAGATATTATCACAAATGAATAATTTAGCATTAAGAAAACATGGATATCATAGAATGTGCGCTATTGGTACGACCCGCCCCCTACTCCGTGGTAGTGGCTCGTGGGGAGACCCGCAACATAAAAGAAAACACACCAAAAAACCAGTACATAATAGCGATTTGATGTACAGCCGTTACTCACACAAGCCATCCGGCAAACGAACGAGGTCTGGATTATTATATCAGATTCTTGTGCAACCACAATGCACCCCACCTTTACAGTTTATGTTAATAATATTAAAGTTACCAAGGAATAATTGTAATCGTGTTTGACATAACTTCAGGTTAGGGTTTGACACTGTTTACATGGAATTCTCAAGTATTAAACATCAGCCAAGTCTAAAGCGTCTGTGGGATCAAAATGTACAGCTGACCTGGCTCCAAGCCGAATATTGTTAACCAAAGCTTGTGCACATTGTACTGTCCATTATTTAATCATAACAGAGGAAGCCAAAGTCTAAATTCCTTTACACTTAAAAATCAAATGTCATATGGCAGTTACATCAGATCAGATGTGGTCAAAGGTCTGGAGTATAAAAAATAGTCATGTGCAAAAATACTGAATGTTACTAAATGGTGCTTTGACAATATGTCAGACGATGTGATCAATACTTGTATCCTGAGCCCCTTAGAGTCTTTACACTACACATCTGGCATCATGACGTTTTGAACCAGTATTGAGGGTAAACGTCTGTTCTTTTGATCGTTACTGTTCTTTAGAGGTCTGCACATTGTAGGACTCTTGTAATTTATCCAAGGCAAGAACCAACATATAGGTACTTACTGCTAATAGGTTCCATTTAAAAGTCAAAGTAAATGTGTCTAAAGAATTAAATTAGACCATGTAAGCGTGTAATTACATAAATGTTTATAGACAACCCTTCATTACATCACACCAGTGTGTTTTCTACCTGGAGGTTGCACACACATTGGTTATTTGTAAACTGGGTATTCTGTAATACTGATTAGAAATTGCTGCACAAGGTTAGCACTAGGTTACAGAACATGTGGATAGACCAATAATATTGTGAGAGATTGAATGCAAAGGTACTGCAAGCGAATGCAATAGGAAAGTATTTGAAAGAGAATTCCTAATGTGTACACAGACACAAAAAGAAAGAATGTGACTGAAATAGGCACAACTAGAATGATCTATTAAATAGAAGTTACTTATCAAATAACATATTCATCCATTTTACCATGCCAAGGTTTTTGAGAAACTATTTTTAATTGAACTCACAATGTATTTTCTTTTTTAACAGAGTGAAACGCAACAACCTTTGCCACTGACCTAGGATACATTGGGGCACTAAAGATGCCTAAAAGCGATACCTGGCCAGGTGGCATTGGACTGGAGACCAGCATGGACAGCGCCGGCAGCTGCGACAGCGTTGTCAGCGCCAACTCTATCTTTGTAAGTTTCTAAACTTCATCTCTTGCATCTAAGAAAATATTAGCTCTACTACAACTCCTTATGCAAAGCAACATGGGTATGTTTAGGTGTCTTCATAGATGTGTGTATTTAAAAGTCAAGGATTGTTCCAATAAAAAAGGGTGTCAAATCTCAATTCTTCAGTTTGACAATTTCTCAGATTTAGTGTGATATCTCATTATGTTGTCAAAAGGAAAGTCAGTCCTCTTTTGATGCATTGCAGAGTGATGATAGTCTGGAGCACCTCTCTGCTGAGGAGAAGGCCTGCCTCATGTTTCTGGAGGAGACTATTGATTCTCTGGATACTGAGGAGGATAGTGGGCTGTCTAATGATGAGCCTGACCAACTGCCCAGCGCCGGCAACCTGGTCTCCAAACTGGCTGACCTGTCGGCTTCCATGAGCAAAACCAAGCTCAACAGTGAGTTCATCTCAAGGCCCAAATGCAGAATTACCTTAAATGTTCTCAATGAAATACTTTCTATTGACCAACAAGTGTTTGTCTTTTAGGTTTGCAGAAACAAGACTTTTCGGAAAATGCTGACACCAAACCCATGCACAGCTACCTGGTTCCTACACCGTTTGTTATAGCTAGCAGCTCTCCGTGTTCCATACCAAATGCAAAGGCAGGTTTCTCTCCTGACAAACACCTGAGCTCTAAGTCTCAGTTCCCTCCTCCAAGCTACAAACCTGATCACAAACACAAGCCGAAACCTGTTAACCACCATGTATCTTTCGATGCTAATGTTGTGATACCTCCTGCCACCAAACCCAGGGATTTGACTGAAGGTTTACCCAGAGGCCCCCTGTCCTACGACGCACTGGTTTATCTGCGGAGGAGTGCCTCAACAAAGAAGACGCCTCTATGTCCCACGATTGATCATACAATAGACTTGAACAAGCACCTTCCTGTCACAGAGGAAGGCCCACACTTTGGAAATCTACCAAGGTCTGACAGATTTAACTCGGAGGCTTTTAAGTCCAAGACAGACCCTCCAGTTGTGGCCCCGAAACCCAAACAGATAACAGCCAAAACATCTGTAAAAACCCCAAATGCAGAAGATGTTTTGTACAATATAAAGAATGCAAAAGACCCCAAGGTTGTAAGGCTGGAGGCTTTGGAGAAGCTCGGTCTCCTGAAAGACGAACAGCCCAAAAATGAGACAGTAGCTCCACGGCCTCCCACTGAATCTCACTCCTCTCTGGACCCGACGACCAACAGATTCTCAAGAGGTCCATCTAATGCTAACCCATCAAGAAGCCCATCGTTGTCCTCCTCTCATGTGCCTACAGAGCCCAAGAACAAGGCTCTGCAGAGCAGTGCCAGCTTCCATCTCTGCTCCAGACGGGACCAGCTGCCTGCGTCCACGTCACATTCCGCTCCATCCAACGGAGTGAAGGCAGCTAGCCTAGAGCGCGCTGCTACACGGGACCAACACAGAAATGCAGAGAACGCACAGCCTGTACCCCACAAACCCCCAAACTCAGTGGGATATACGGTGATGGTGGTGCCTGGGATGGGAGCTGATCGAAAGGAAGCACTCAGAAAGCTTGGACTGCTCAAAGACTGAATCAGGTAAACAGCAGAAGAGTGCCTGAGTAAAAGCAGTGTGCAGAGTTCAAGAGTACCACCAGCTTTAAGAGATTAGAGCATTGAGTGGAAACTTGGCACTTGGTGCTTTGGCAGAGTCAAGCAGGAGAGGATGAAGAAGAGTGAGAGTTTAAAGGGCAAGATCACACCTTTGAATATAGTTTGTAATACAGGGGACTGGATTGAGGTACATGAGGGTCGTTCTTTCTCGATTATGGATCTTTTGTAGATTTCATCTATAAAAAGCAGTTTACACTCTTCAAATCCTTAAGGTTCTACGTGTTGATGAAATGGTATGTTGATGTAACGCCATCTAATCAGGATATCTTATTGTGTTTTTTTAAACAAATTACAGTTAAATATGATTTTTCAAGACCCACACCTAATCAGCCTATTACACATGAATGGTTGGTTAAATACTCATTTCCATACAGTATGCACACACAAATGTATGGCTGTAAACAAGTATTTATCCTGATTTACCAAGAGAATACAAATATAAATATTGCAGGTAACCTATTTTGCACATAAAAACATTTTAGAGCCATATTATGGCTTTCCATTATATTGCACATAATATGCTGCTCCACTGCACTTAAAAGTAAACATCGACCCAAATCAACAGATTTTTTACATTTCTGATTGTTTTACAAATCCCAGTTGTGCCTATAAGTAGATTGTTGAGAACATTCATTGGAGCAAAATCTTAAAGATCTTTATTATAAAAATTGGAAAATGTTTTGGGTAGATTTTTCTGTATTCTCTAATCTTCAAAACGTATCAGCAGTACATCCTATGTATCAAGCTCCGGATTTGTTTTTGCTACTATTTTTACAGGATGTATGGTGATGGTTTTTGATGTGACAGACTGTGTCCAAGCCTCTGCCTTTATTGTCTAAATACTGGATGAGTTCAACCAGAATAAAAAAGAGTGATAATGTGATTTTTACCATTTTCATGAATACCTGTGAAAATAAAGACATCTGCATGTGAAACACCGTGTATTGTTATCTTTAACCTCACATCTTTTATACATGTTGTGATTTAAATGTGATTAACTTAGTTTGCTTTTCAGACTGAGCTGCTGAATAACATCCTGCAGGTACAGCTGCACAGAGAGACAAAAGGTCTTTGATTCACTCCAACTATCATCCCTGTAAACCTGCACAGGGCTTTACGTGCCTGCCTCATCCAGCGCTCCACTTACAGTCACACTACTCATCTTACACGCCACTCGAGCAACGAGAAAGCCTGCTCAGCTGATCTTCCATTATCCGATTATCCTGAGCCCCACCTCTTAGCACACTGGTGTCTTCCTTTCTGTTTTCTCACTATCCCTTCCATGTAAGACTTCTAATTCCCACCACTGACTTATCTAAATGGCCAGGCATTGGTTACGCAACAGTCTTAAATTAGTGTGTGGTTGATTATTGTGAGAGACGATTACAGTTGGCTTCTGAAGTGTTATCTCGGTCAGGACAGGAGCTGGCCTAATAGCTCAGAATGTGTGTATAGTATGTCTGCGCACAGGCAAACAAAGGGTGTCAAATGTTGAAACTGACACGGCTCTCTGCCGGTCAACTAATATTAGACAATGGGTGAAGAAATCAGGCCATGGCCACATTCGGAAATAGGATACCGGGATAGAAAAGTGAGCTGCGGAAATGATTGATTCATCAGTATGTTACTACGGCGTTGAGCTGTTGCTGTGTTAGCAAAACAAACAAAAAACTAAAACAACAGGATACTTGATCATAGGATATTCTAAAATCATAATCCAGTATTAAAACTAAATCCATGCAACCTTTTGACATTGCCTACAGAATAAAAAGAGCTCTCTTGTCTCTATTATCCTTAAGTAATCCACTAATAATAATCCACTACGCTGACCCCAGAGGTCATAAGTAACATGAGTTAAGCTTGGACTACCTGTACACGCTGCTGCCATGACAACAGCCCGCCCTGACCTAATTGTGACAGTGGAGTCATCTGTAGCTGCAACAACACAAACTCAGACTCGGATCTAATTTCTCATTAATGTTTGTAACGCACTCAACAACCCATGTCTAAAAAAGGAAAAAGAAACGTGCCATAAAGTGGTGGAATCATTTGTTTTATTTGTATATTTAGCAGCAAGATGTTGGAAGTTAGATAAAGAACAGGTTTAATTGTGGTTTACAATCAGCAATAGCAAAATACAATAGACATGAAATATTATGGTAGCTAGAGTTTCACAGTTTAGGTACAGTGCAAAAAATGTAACGGTAGTTTCAGAATGTAGGTAGTATTTTTTTCTCAAAATAACAATTGAAAATAGTATCGAAACACATTTAAATTTAAAGTGTCCAGAAAAAGTGTTGGCTGTGTGCATTCTGGTGGGCATTAGACTTCAAATAATAAAATGTATAATGTATGTGACCAATAACAGGGTATATATTCAAAAAAACAGATGACAGTGAGATGTGTTTAAGTATTTAAGTACCTAAGGGATGTTATTTGAAATCCCCTCGTTATGGATGTGGGATTTACTTTTCTTGCGTTTCACTCTACCATTGGGCACAGGGACTCCCAGAGACTCCAGGCGGAAGGGGCGCGGGAACACAGAGTCTGAGCCCACAGGGGAGCTCATGGTGGAGCCGCTCACTGTGAGGTGGGCCGACCCGTTAGCCGGAGGGGGAGAGTGGACCGCTGTAGGAGAGAGAGCTCCATCAGATGGGTAAAACCAACATGAGCATAAACACCTAAATATGAAATAGCTTTAGCGTTACTTGAATCCTGCATACATTCGTACCACTGAATCCAAATGTATTTCATTTATTATCTTAACAGTTAATTGTATTTCACTGCACAATATTTAACCTTACATTCTGTTTCTTTGAACTGCACTATTTTATTCAAATGTATCGTACTTATTTTTGTATTATTATTATTGTTATTTTGTTGTCTGATGTCCTTTATATAATATGTTGCATAGTTGGCGGAGCTCGGTACCTAAGATTTCCATCGCCATAACTACACTGTAGCTACTGTGCATATGATAATAAAACCCTTGAATCTTGAATCACTTGAGATTAATATTTAGCAAATTATTCGTTAAATGTGTCGTTTATTTATTTTTCTATATTATTTGTGTGGCCATTTTATTGTAGATAGGGTAGACGCCAGTTCTACCAGGTAAGATATTGGTGTCCCAAGTGTGTCTTCTTTTTCAAATTAAAAAGTAACATTTAAGTATTTTTGACCTTCTACAATTTAATCATCATTCATTTTGTACCATTGTTTTTATGATATAGGTCTGCATACAGTTCAGAATCCCCCCCAAAAAGATATACCACAGTGAGAGCACCATGTCAAACTAAGCTAACTAGCCAACTAAACTGTAGCATCTCATTAGTAAATGTCTGTGTGTGCTTGTCCTGTCCCTACCGTGTCCCTTGGTAGCTTCACGTCCCAGCAGTTGGCTCGCTCTCTTTGATTTGAAGTAGCTGCTGGCGATGTTCTCACTGTCACTGCGGGCCAGCATCTCCTTGTACCTGTCCTCCTCCATCTGCTAAAAACACAACAGGGTTAAGGCTCTGTGACAGTGTTACGTGTGTGTTGGATGATGCGTGGAACATGAACGCACCATGAAGGGCTCTCCAGTATCAGCAGCTGGACCTCTGCCAGCTGAAACCTTCGGAGCCCCTGCTGTGAGGGCGAAAGAAAGAAAGATAATATTTAAGATAAGATAAATATAAGATAAGAAGTACTTTATTGATCCCAATTTGGGAAATGTTTATGTAAAAAGACAAGGCATTGTACATTAGAGAAATTAAAAGACTAGAAATAAACAATTCAAAATATAAACATCTCAAATAGAAATAAAATAGCATTAAAAAAGTAGAAAACTTACATGTTGAAATACACATTTACAGTAAACAAAATATAAAGCAGGATATTATATATACATTAAGTGTGTAAGGAATGGAATATTAAATTGAACATAAATGTAAAATGTACAGTGTAAGTTTAAGTCGAGTTATCTAAGAGAAGCTATGGAGAAGTGAGTGGTGATTTGTGATATAGAGTTATTGCAGTAGGCAGGAATGTTTTCCAGTATAAGCATAGTAATCTGCAGAACACATAGGATTATATTCCTACATCATTACTAAAACTGACACACATTTCACTCCAATATGCCATTGTGCACCTGCAGGCAGTGTTGTTTTCTGCACCGTCACCTCCGGCAGCCTCCAGGTGGCGCTGTCCTCCTCCCACACAGCTTCCTTCTTCAGGCGGTCCAGGTTGCTGTAGTTGCAGTCGCGGCGCACCAGCGGCACCATGCGCTCCAGCAGGCTGTGCAGTAGCTGGCCTTCCCTCTCCACCCGCCTGATGGTTGCCAGATAGTCATCCCGCTCCACCTCGAACTCCGCCTGCAGGTCCCGGATCTCCAGTCTGGCTCCTTTCAGCTGTCACCAGTGGGGGGAAAAACACTCAGATGCTTTACTTAAAGGTCCCATGTCATGGCCATTTCTACTGCTCATAATTCCATTGTTGAGGTCTACTAGAATAGATTTACATTGTTCAATGTTCCAAAATCACATTGGTTTCTCGTACAGCATCTCTGTATAGTATGTGTATTCACTCTCTGTCCTAAACGGCTTGTTGGAGCTCCTGACCCCCCCCTCCCTGTGAGCCCACTGTGCTCTGATTGGTCAGCTCGCCCACTCTGTTCTGATGAGTCCACCACCGTTACAGCTGAACATCAGTGATTATGTGTTACAATGGCGTTTGTTAGCAACCAGAAAATGACACCAGTAATGACAAACAGATGAGAATGCTGCGTGGGGTCTGGGTGCCGTGTTGGCGGGGCGTTGCGGGGCTCGCTGCTTTGCCCTTTGAGGCTCGAGGAGCGGACAGTGAGAGCTGGGTTGCTGGTGTTGTTTCCTGGTTGCTGCGTGGGGTCTGCGAGACACCACGGAACTCAGCCTGAGCACACACACATGTGTGTGTGCGGAGCCCGGGCTGAGAAAAGATAAGGCTGAGTGTGTGTGTGTGTGTGTGTGTGTGTGTGTGTGGTGTGTGTGGTGTGTGTGTGTGTGTGTGTGTGTGTGTGTGTGTGTGTGTGTGTGTGTGTGTGTGTGTGTGTGTGTGTGTGTGTGTGTGTGTGTGTGTGAGAGAGGAGCTCCGCGGATTGGTCCAAGCCGTTAAGTCACTATGACCGTTACGTCACCAGGACCAGGAAGAAAACAATGGAAAAATAGAAATCTCCAACGAGGCGTTCTGGGGCAGCATAGACAGGTATTTTCTGTGTTGAGTTTTACTCGCTACAGGGTGTACTTTGAGGGTTTGTGACTTTGCAGACCGTTTACATGCAGAAAAAGCTACATAACACACAAGGGGACGGGTAATAACCGGAAAAGCATGTCATGGGACCTTTAAGTTAAATCTGTGGTATTTCGTACTGCACGTCCTGAACCCAGTTGTTGAACTTTGCTCCAAACCCATTGCAGTTCCCATAAAAACTTTAATATTTGTCCTACTGTACTGTATCTGTGACCCACCTTTCCCTGGACCTTGACCAGCATTTGGCTTTTGGCGTGGACTTCCTCCTGGATGGAGTTGTAGACATTTAACAGCACATGTTCACTGTCCTCAATGTTCTGTGACAAAGCGCTGATAAGATGGACTTTTCTCTGGTCAGCCAGGTTCTTCCTCTGCCTGTGTCTCTGCTGCAAGTCTTTGTTCCTGGCCTGCTCTCCTCCCACCACCTCCTGTTCCAGCTGCTGCAGTCTGGGGACAGGTGGATCAACAGGGAACTGATCATACTGGACTGTCATGTCTGAAACTTAAATTGAATAAATAACACTTAAATGCACTATTAATCTTGGTACAGATCCATGTTATAGTTCAATTGTAGTGGACACATACTGAGTAAGATGTTTTTAGCTGTAAATTGGCACTTCAATAGTGTTTTATATAGTT